ACACTTTTAAAAGAGGGAAATGGAAGATTGGGAGAATGAGCCATAGCCGCTCAGTCCTAAATGATAACTCATTTGTTACGTGATGGTGCATGTCGAAACTGAGGCATGTGGCCAAGCAACTTTGACCTCCCACCACAGATGGCTTAAAGATTTCTCTAACTCCCACCCATCCAGGAGGTCAAAGGCAATGAGGAATCATGGTAAAATCTCTGAGTGTCTTGGATGCGCTCTGGCTGGAGGGTTTCCACTGCCCACGCTGGGCCGTCTTGGTGCACTACACGTAGTCGTACTTGGAAGGGTGGGATTGCACCTCGTCCTCTGCGTGGGCACCCCCGTTGTATATCTTCTTATTTTTGCTGTTGGACCCAAAGCCAGTACTGGCCTTGAAGCCCCCAGGCTTGTAAGTGACATTGTGGCTTGCGGTATGGTATGACACGGTTTTGTAGCTGAAAGAAAAAGGAACATTCCATTTCCATAGGCATCTTTGGTAAGGTGGCCAATGACAGTCTCAGCACTGAACGTCTGGTTCTACTGCTAATGATCCCTGCTTTCTGAAGCAGGTCAGTTGCTCTCACTGCGTCTCAGTTAGCTCACCATGGAATGAGCAGATAGAAAGCGGCACACAGTAATGTCCAGCTCACACGTTCCCCGTGACATGGCTTGTAGTTCAACTCCATTTTAATTGATTAGCAGAGGGAACTCACTAGTCTATTTGCTCTCAGTTCGGCCAAGCTCTGATACAAAGTAAGAAATTCTGTTCCCCTGCAGAGGTAGAAACCTGTATCCCAAGGCCTGGTTCCACCAGAACGGAGAGGAAGACCCTTTTGGAGATGCATGGGCACAGTGGCTGAAACCACGGGCTGGAACATGAGAACAATTGTGAGGAGGGTGGAGGACCTGTCATGTTTCTTTCTGTCATGCAGAGGGCCGCTGTGAGTCGTTGACACCTAACACAACGAGGCCGTGGCTCTGGCTGGATAGCACCTAACAACCTAACAATGATGCGGCCGTTCCGGAAACAGGTGTGCCAGGAGTTAGAAGGTCAGCATAATTTTCTGGGAAGTACATGTAACGCA